TCTGCCATATAGCACAAAGTGTCACAGATAATATCAAACAAATAGGCATGGCTGTGCTCCAATAAAATTTAATTTATGGACACTGATATTTGAATTGTATATAATACAGGCTACTAAATTCTACTGATTATTTTCAACTGTTTAAAAATATAAAACCATTTTTTAATCTGTGAGTGGTACCAAAATAGGCAGCAGGGTGACTTTAGCCCATGGGCCATATTTGGCAATTCCTGCTCTAGACTCTGAAGTTCCTATTTCTGCAACCACATCAGAAAGTCTCAGCTACATGGTATGTGGCCCAATATTCATTTAAGCTCAGGTGAGAGGGCTTCCCTGGTGGGGAACACTATGAAGCTATTGGCAGGCACTGCAGCATGAGTTCGATCCCCAGCCAGGGAGTTAACCCACATATGGCGCAGCAGATGGCTTCTGACTCGCCTGCTGCTCCCCTCAGCAGTGTATTTCAGTAGATCTGCCTGTTCTGCTCCCCACTATGTCTCTGGTGAAACGTGTCATCCCCCACTTTTCTGGCCTACATCCCAGCTCTTGTATGCATAAATAAATCAATCTTCAAAAAAAAAAAAATAAACTCAGGTGAGAAATAATCCCATGAGCTTATTTTTACTAGCTCAACTTGAAAAACTTAGATGTCAAACTTTCACAAGAATTTTTGACAGTCTTACCGGTAAAAATAACGTCATCCATCACCCCTGTCCTCACCACACACAATTAAGAATTTATGGAGCAAGAAAATAGTTGGCAGTTGTCTTCATAGATGAAGTCAATGCAGCCTCATTCTTTGGCCAAAAGGCAAGGGATACCAGTTCCTGATGCCTCTTCTCCCCAAGGCTATTCCAGGCCAGTAGATACAGAACCACTGGGAAGGACAAGCCCTGGCTTCAACATGGACTTTTAACCAGTAATCTTGTTACTTTTTTTTTTTAAAGAAACTTGGCTTCTACTATTTCTACTGACACTCATTTTGGAATGGCAGTGTTTAACACATTTTAAGTCTAGATGTCTCTATGGAAACCCAAGAGAAACTACCTACCTAGCAATATACATCCTATAGGCTGTTTCTGTATTACCAGAAATATCTTAGTCCTATTTTTTGCAAAACTCCATCTTATTCGGTATAATTAAATGGATAAAATTATTACTTTCAATGAAGACATCCAGAGAAAAAGAACATATTTCTGAGATAGCCTTTTAATTTTTATTAATACATCTTATTTAAAATATTCTTATTAAGTAAAGAATATTATAAATATTGTCAGATATGATGAAAAAAGAAGGAATACAGTCAAATAATTGAACAGTTGCTTGAAATTTATATCATTAATTTTCTTCTCCTTCCCATCAGTGTCTAATAAGCTCTCTTATAAAAATGTGCTAAGAGTTCGTCTCCCCAAACTGCTCATTTGTTGCAAGTACACAGTAGAGAAACAGATAACATCTTCACAAGTGACCAACATTATTATCACCAGTGAGGGACAGCTGGCCTTTGGATGCCTCTAGACGTGACATTGAGAAAAACCTATCCATCATCTAGAATACACACATTGAATCTCATAGTGAGAAAATGTCAGAAAAAAGAAAAAGTAAGAGAGGAGCTTGGCACAGAAGGGCTGTATTATTTTTAAAATGCCAATGTCATACAATCAAGGAAAGACTATGGAAATGTTCTAAATTAAAAGAAGTGAAAGATACATTATAACTAAATGCAATAAGACTCTTTAATAGATCTGGAATTGCAGGAGAATGGGAGAAATTATCTAAAAACCATTATTGGGGGGCCTCCCCTGGTGGCACAGTGGTTGAGCGCTGGGCTGCAAGGCTGCCCGCAGCCTCTGCAGTGCCGGTTCGTTCCCTGGCTGCCGGCGAGGGTCCCACTAAAAAAAAAAACAAAAAAAAAAAAACAAAACGAAAAACCACCATTATTGGGTCAACAGATAAAATGGAACACAAAGAGTGGATTAGATGAAAGTACCATACCAATGTTAAGTTTACTGCACTATGATTAAAAAAAAGAGAATATCCCATGCTTTGGAAATACTGAACTATTTCAAGGAAAAACCCATGATGCATGACATGTAACTTTCTATCAAATGGTTCAGAAAAACACATACATACATATATAACATAAGACAAACGAACTGAAGAGAAAGCAAGTGATAAAGCTAAAGGTATAAAGCATTAACAACAGGGGCCTCCCTGGTGGCACAGGGGGTAATGACAGTGCTATCAAGCTATCGCCAGCCACTGCAGCACGAGTTCTATCCCAGCAGGCCAGGGAGCAACCCACATGGCGCAGAAGACCTCTCCTGTCTCGCCCACAGCTCCCCTCAGCAGTGTATTTCAGTAGATCTGCCTGTTCTGCCCCGACTCTGTCGCTGGTGAATCCTCTCACCGCCCCCACCACACCTCTGGCTTATACCCCAGTTCTTGTATGCATAAATGAATCTTTAAAAAATAAAGTATTAACAGGTTTCAAGAATAAGAGATTCATGGATACTTTTGCAACTTTTCTGTAAGTTTGAAATTATTTTCAAATAGAGAATTCAAGCAAAAAAAATGAATAGTTCTTGCCTATATGGAGTTCTTGGCTGTTTTCTTTCCATGATATTCCAAATACAACACAGGAAGAGATGCTTGTGCCAAGTAACAAAGAAGTGCAAAGATATTTTAACATGTTTTATCAGTGATTGAAGTCTGCCAAAGCATCACCCACCACCCTGTCTCAGCAGAGTCCGGTGCAAAAATCAGCAAACAATGGAGACTCTAGCAGCTTAGATACAATCATTTCCCACTAATTTCTCTAGACAGGACAGTGATTCTAAAACCTTTTCACATCCCACAAATTGTAGAATTATCTCATATGCAAAACAAGTCTCTCAACTGTTCTCTTAGACAGGCACTATTAAAGCAATCGATCAGATTTGATGTTTTGAACTGGGGCATCTTAATATTTTAAGCCTGTCTAAGTAGCTGGAGGCAGGTCTCTTCATTGTGTATCCATAACTCATTGCCTCCACTTCAAACTGCTGTCAGAATCCTGTAGTTTTTGTGTCCTTCACCCCACACTGGCCCTGCGCTGGCACTGGAGATGCCGACCTCCAATCTGAACATACCATCTAAACTGATTTTTCTCACAAAGTAGGAAGCTGCCCACAACCAAAAATTTAGAAGACACTTATTTCTCTAAGTCAATCACTGGAGAGACTCAAAAAGGTCATAAAAAAATTGAAATTTTCAGCCATGCATAGGAATGTGGCAATACCCCTTCTCCAAAGCACAACAAAGAAAGAACATGTGTCTATTGATAAGTGTTTTCAATCCTTCCCTGTTCAAAGTTTTATTTTCTTCATCCTTTATTAGAGACTATCTGTGACTTAAAATACCCATGTACTATTTTTGGCTTTGGATTTTTATCCTAGATAATCTCATTATTCATTTTCTTCTATATTTCAGTAAATAATTATATTTAATAAATATTTACCAAGAAACTAGTTGGCATAAAATGCTTACTAAGTGGTAGTCTACAAGGAAAAGATTCCAGGTTGTTTGTCTACAAAAAATCCCTACGAAAAGGCTATAAAGACAATCAATATGATGAAATCTGCTTGCAGGATGGCATAAGGAGTCAGAAATGAATTATGAGCAACTGCAAAGAGGGATAAACTAGTCAAAGCACTAAAATTTAATGAGAAGATAATTTTTAAAGTAGGTGAAATTGAAAAGAAGGCACACGGAACATCATTATAGATTTAAAATCATGCATATTCTTCTCCATAAAACTTCTCAAATGCAGTTAAAAACACACACGTACAAAACCAAGCAATTATAAATCCTCTGAAGCATGTAACTGTGATTAGCTGCTACTCTCAGCAATATAAAAATACTTTCACCACAATTACATTCCAGCCTGTAATGTAATTCAAAACAAACAAGTCGGAGACATCGCTCAAATGGCAGAACCAACAAATACAGATGCTTTGCATCAAGGAAATGAATCCACTGAAGAAATGCAACCAAGAAGGAGCTGCCTGGCAGGGTGCGGGGTTGGGTTTCTGATGGAGCCGCGAGGCCCCCTTCTGGGCAGATGTGGTGCACCCCAGCCTGGCTCGCCAAGACACAATTGCACCAGTCAACCCTTCCCGCTGTCAAGCATGAACACGGGGGATTCCTGCCTTTGGAAACCCTTTCCAGGGCTGTGTTCACATAGGAAAATTTTAGACTTGAAATTCTTCTGAAAAGTTGTCATTTGTAAGGCCATTTTTGAAATGGAATCAGGGAGCTATTACACAGAAACTGCACAGCTGTCTCACTGAACTGGGCAAATACCTCTGGACTGGGCCAACAGCAATTGTTTTAAGAAACCAGCAAGTAAACCACTGGGAAGAACTGATAATTATGAACGTATAGCTAAAAGAATCAATCAAGTTCCCTTTTCATCCTTTCTACAGAATCAGAACCAATTATGTACAGTCAGGAATAGCTAAGCCTGTTAACACTAATCAACTTTAACCCCTATCTCATTTTCTTCTTTTCCCATAAAACCCACTGACTATGTCTCTCCAGGGGGCAAATCTGTGTGCTCCCAGCTGCAATTCTTTGATCCTATGTACTCTGCCTTTTTAATTGCCTTCTGAGTTTTTAGAAAAAGAAATCACTATCCAATTTCAGATTAAACTGACCATTCTATTTAATTAATTCTGCAACCAGCATTTCCACCACCCAATGGCACACCTATCCCTTTATCCTGATCTCCTTTTTCTTTTTGCCATAATTCTTGCCACTAAATACTGTGCACCTGGTATGTTTGTTATGTCTCCCCTGCTAGAATATAAGCTCCACGAGGGCAGGACACTTTGTTGGGTCACTGATTCAATGAACAAACAGAGCCTGACACACACCGTACAGCTGCTCAGTAACAGAGAAGGAATGGTCCCGCTTAAACTCTTGTGTCTTCTAAGACTATTCATCTTCAAAGAAGACATAAACAAGATTTTATTATAGCAATATGCTATCATTTTTAAATGACATTAAAGCACTGGTTTTCAGGGCCTCCCTGGTGGTGCAGGTGGTTGAGCACAGTGCTATGAAGCTGTCCGCAGCCTCTACAGTGCGGGTTCAATATCAGCAGGCCGAGGAAATACCCACATGGTGAGGCAGACCTCTCCTGTCTCGCCCGCTGCTCCCCTCAGCAATGTATTTCAGTCAGTATGCCTGTTCTGTTCCCCACTCTGTCTCTGGTGAATCCTCTTACCCTCCCGCACTTCTGGCCTGTACCCTGGTTCTTATATCATGAATAAATAAATCTTTTAAAAATTAATAAAATAAAGCACTGGTTTTTAAAGTATGAATTTTCTCCAGACTGTCTAAGCAAAAAAAAAATGTTTCCTGAGGATCATGTAGTCATGGTTTATATTATATCATTCATATGCAATATCCAAGGAAGTCGCAGGCCCCTGACACCCTGGGTGAAAATAACAGCTTCAAAGAATGAAGAATCTGATTCTAAAATACCAGTCCTGAAGCAGGTGTCCACAGCATGGCGCGCACCAGTCCAGACACACACACCAGGCAACCGGGTCCAGACACACAGTCTCAAAAAGTCAGCACTTTCCTGGACTGGGTGTAAAAGTTTGGGTAAGAAAAGCACGTACTGCTTACTCATTTCTAAAACCTCAATGTTTAATTTTTCCTCTTCTTAAAATGTTTTTTCAGACTGTGGAAAAGCTAGCAGGTGTATAAATTTGTCAGACTTTCAAAAAGTTCTCATTTCTTCCTTTAACAGAGCAAATGATGAGAGATCATTTTCCCACTGGTTAAAAACAGCATATAAACATTTGCCTCAACGATGTCCACAGCTTTTAGTCCAAGAATTTCATCCAGGGGCATCAGTCTTTCATCGGAACGAGTTCAAGACTTTTGACATTCCTTTTTCCGAACTTTTGATTTTGGTGCTGTGAAAAGAAGAAAGAAAATGAAGAGGCAGGTTCATGTCAGACTCTCTTCACACTGGTTTAAGTGACCTGTGTTATGTACAGTATGGAAAACTGACCGTTGGGATTTTCTTGTTTGTAGAAGGTCTTTAACATGGACACTGCTTCCTCAGCCCGATATCCCGGAATGCACTGGAGAAAGGAGAAAGCTGGGAATGAATGCAGACCTATAAACACATGCAGGATTTGTAAATATACATCAGCTAATGTTAGCACACTTCAGAGATATTAGTAATATGGGCAGAGAATGATATTTCCAAAGGAATGGATATACAGTAAGTCTTCTCTTAATATGACCAATCGATTCTCAGAAACTATGATTAAGCAAAAAAAAAAAAAAACATATAACACCAGGTCCCTGAGCTTCATTCCATGTTGGTGGGAATTTTTTTTTAAAGAAATAATATGAGGGCCTCCCCGGTGGCGCAGCGGTTGAGCACTGGGTTGCGAAGCTGCCCGCAGCCTCTGCGCCGCCAGTTCGATCCCCGGCTGCTCCCCGGCCACCAGAGGAGGGTCTCACATGGCGCGCAGACCTCTCCTGCCGCCCGCTGCTCCCCTCAGCAGTGTACTTCGGTCCTTCTGCCTGCTCTGCTCCCCGCTCTGGCTCTGGTGAATTCTCTCACCCTCCCACGCTTCTGACTGTACCCAGTGCTTCTATAAACAAACAAACAAACAAACAAACAAATAAATAAATAACTCTTTTAAAAAAAGAAAAAAGAAAAAGAAATAATATGAGCTAAACAAGGTCACTTAAGAAACTGCTGTATGGCCTCAGTCAGACAACTGTCAATCCATCAATTATTTCACAATCAACTATTATTAGTTATGGGTTATGTGATCTTGATAAGATGCTGATAAAACTTTCTATGCTTCAGTTTCCTCCTATGTAAAATCAAGCTAATTACAGCACTTACCTAGAAGGGTTTTGTGAGGATTAAATGAGATTAAATAAAATAAAACCCGATAAAGAGCTGGCATATCCTAAGTGTTCATTAAACATTAGCTACTTTTATTGCTGGTGGCCCAGTAAGTATTTGCTGCTATAGAGCTAGGGCTGCCATTCCACAACTAAAAATGATTTTTTATTTTTAAAAAGTTGTTAAAAAAATATATATGACAGAGCTATAAGTGACTCACAAAGGTTAAATAATTTACGACCATGTCTGTATAAAAAATATGTCTATCCTGACGTGGAGGATTATTTTGAGTATCTACTTGGTTCTACTTTGGTATCTAACTGGAGAGAAGAGATTGACACATATGGAAAAACAAGAAATTGCAACACAACACTAAATAGTATATGAAATATTACATGGAGAAGATGAAACTTGCACTTGCCTTAAAGGTAGAGAACATCTAAAGAGGCTGAGCACAGCATGTCAGAGAAAGAATAGGAATAAACTTAGATTGTATATAAGGAAGCCAAATGGTGGGTAGAGGGAGGGGATTTTTAAGCATAAGGAAAACAGTAAAAGAGATAAAATGAGGTCAAAATATATAGGCTTGTCCCAGGAGTGTGGACTTGATACGTGGCACCCTCAGACAGAGTGATACAACAAATGGAGATTCTAAGGAAGCAGAGCCAGGATGGGAAGGAGCCAGCACACAGGACAGCAGGGGGCCTAGAAAGACCCCACTTTGGGCCTCAGCTCAGAATAACCTTCCCTTTCTCCTTTGCCTTCAGTCTAATCTTGCCCAGACCTACAAAAAATCTGCAGAGACCTTCCCCATCAAAACAATGAGTTCAATGCTTTTAGACACCACATATGAGACCACACAGTATTTGTCTTTCTCTAACCTTTCTTAATATAATGCCCTCAAGGTCAAGTCATGTTGTCACAAGTGATAGTATTTCCTGCCTTTTTTATAGCTGAATAATATTCCAGTGTGTGTGTGTGTGTGTGTGTGTGTGTGTCCACACACATACAATTTCTTTACAGAAACAGAAGAGTGGCAGCTGTATGGGAGCCAGAGAATGGGAGGAGTAGTGAGGGGAATGGTTGCAGAGTATGCATTTCCAGTGATAAGAAAGCTCAGGGGCTATATAGCATGGTGCTTATAGTGTATTGTATGCTATAAGCATTGAAAATTACTATGAAAGCAGAGCATAAATGTTCTCACCCTAACAACAGTCACAACACGATGGTAACTACGTGAGATGAAGGATATGGTAACTAATCTTGTTAACATTAGCAATGTAAACCACAATACATATGTGTATCAAATCATCACAGTGTACATCTTAAGCTTACACAATGTCATAAGTCAGTTATCTCTCAATAAAGCTAGAGGGAAAGAAAACAATAAACTACCTTCCACTCTGCCCTCCAGACAAGCTTTAACCCTATTATTTCCTGAGAACATTCCAGACTCAAGGTTGTCAGTGCGGTTCTCGTTTTTTGCCTCAACCTCATCCTCACTGGCTTGTGCTGCTGGGATGTCACCAAAGCTGCCCTGTCAGGACCCCATGACCCCCTAGCGACCAAACCCCTGGTCCCCTTCCCATCTTCCTCAAGTCTGTGCAGTTACAGCAATTACTGACCATACTTTTTGCAAGTTAGCTCCCTGGGATGCTAGTCCTTCATCCTTCCCGCCAGCCCCTTCTCTTACCACGTGAAGTGTTGTCCCGGTGCCTGGGCACCCCATCTCTCCTCTTGCTCTCTCACGGCACTCACATGGCAGGTCAGAGTGTTCTCCTCTCACGTGACTGAGTGCCATGGCTCTCAACCTTGACTGCTCAGTACAATGGTTTGAGAGCTCTCCATCTCCCCATCCCACTCCCAGCCTCTGATGCACTGGTCCAGGATGGGGGCCAAGCACCAGTGTAGTTAAAAGCTCTCCAGGTGAGTCTCAACTGCAGTCAGGGACAAGGCCTGTTGAGTTACAGGGGGAGACGGAAACTGCATCTCTCTAAGATACCAAGATATTATTTTCAAGCATTCATTGGGGATTTATGGCTTTGACAAAAAGCACATATTCTTATTAAATAAATTTTAATGGAGCAGATTAAATAATATAATTTTAAAAAGATTTATTTACTTATGCATACAAAAGCTGAGGTGTAGGCCAAAGGTGTGGGGGGGTGAGAGGATTCACCAGAGACAAAGTAGGGAGCAGAACAGGCAGATCCGCTGAAATACACTGTTGAAGGGAGCAGCTGGAGAGACAGGAGAGGTCTGCTGAGCCATGTGGGTCACCTCCCTGGCCGGGGATCGAACTCTTGCTACAGTGGCTGGTGATAGCTTCACCGTGCTGAGATTTAACCCCTTGCGCCACCAGGGAGGCCCTTAATAATATAAATTAATCACCATCATTGTTGAAAACAATAGTTCGGAAGGTATCTTCTATGAACTTTAATGCTACTTATAACATAGTATTAAAAGAATTTATAACTGCATTATGAAAACAGTGGTCCACCTCCCACAAACCTGGTCCTCATTCTTCCTCCCTGACCCAGTCAAATAGAGGAGGAAAATACAGCATTCGAAAATGTATAGCATCGATGTTTTCTTTAGAATCTCAAAACTTAAAACACCTAACTTAACTTCAGATCTGGAGAAATCACTTCAAACCATGGCCATTCTTTTCAGTGAGTCCTTGCAGCCAGGTGTCCATACCACAAATGAATTTATTTGATCATCCAGATCCACCCTGTGCAGAGATGTGTCCGACAGGACTGTTAGTGCACTCGATATCACTGACATGCTGGGGAGAAACAGTCCACTCCCACCTGGTAACTAAGGGCTCACCTTTGTTCATCCCCGAAGTTTTGAGAAATTCTTTACCTCTTATCAATGAAGAACAGTCAGGAGTTATTTGCAAAGAGTCACAGAGAAGTGATAGGCAAAATCAAGTTGCTTTGTAGATTTTTTTTTTAATGATGAAGCTCATTGTACTGTTTACTCTCCATCATTTTATTGTAATTTCTGATATGATGTTAAAATTATCTATTCTAAAATATACAGGAGTGGTTAGGAAAGCTAATGTTCAGCTGGTAAAACTCAAAACAGCATGTCTTCCAAAACTTGTTCTCATTGGGATTCAGTCAAATTTAGTCTTTCTTAGATACTTAATATCTGCAGTCTTTGACGTTAATTGCCTGCAACATCCAGCATTTAAGTCCTTTTCTTTTAAAGCATAATACTTTTAGGATTACTTTCATATCATGAAAAGAAAAATAACCAAACAAGTTGATGAAAATTGATATGCATCTATAGTTCAAACTATGAAAAATAAATTACTCTTGTTCATAACCTTAAACAAACATAAAACTAGGACAAGTGGCAAGATTAAAAGGAAAGTATAATTTCTTAGAGAAAATGAAAGAAATATGGATTGTGGTATCTGGGGGAATTTTTTTTTTTTTTTTTGTGGGACCCTCGCTGGTGGCCGGGGATCAAACCGGCGCTGCAGAGGCTGCGGGCAGCCTCGCAACCCAGCGCTCAACCACCGCACCACCAGGGAAGGCCCATGGGGGAAATTTCACAAAAAAAAAGGCAGGGGAAAAATAACGAAAATGTAGGTTTGATTGCCAGATACCAAATATAATACATCATAATCAAGCAAAATGATTGAATATGAGCAAGAATATATTGTGTTCACTTTAATTAACTCTACTGTACTGACAGCGGTTATGCATCACTCAATCTTATTATCATAGCTGGAGCTGGGAACTTTTATTGAGAGAAAATGCCAGTAGTGGGAGTGGCTTCACACATACCTGAAGGCATTGGTAAGGACAGTCTGGAGGTACCTCATAAGGCTAGGGACTCCCTTCAGGAAAGAATCTCTCTCTTTTTTTTTTTTGTTCATTAATGCTTTATTTAAACATACCCTCCTTCATTTTTTCATTCCAAAGGGTTTTGTAATCATATTCCAGTTTCAATATTTTTTTTAATCTTATATTTTCTTTTTTTAATAATAAATTTTATTTTTATATTCCCCATACAATTTCAACCCCCCCATTAAGATTGCTAGGCATTCACCAACAAACTATTACCTGTTGTCGTTTACTAAGGCATAAAATAAACTTCACTAGAAATCCTGGGAGCCTGACTGGCTCCATCATGGCTTCTTAATACACTGATCACATACTAACTGTTTAAAAGCTCATAATGAGATCAAAGCAATTAGAATGAAAGAGCAAAAGCAGGTCAACTTACCTGAAATGGTCTCCCAGTGTTCGGTAAATCAGCAGAGGCAATATTCAGAACAGAGCCACAACCACCAAATCGTTCATTTTGACAGCCATATACAACCAGTGGGATTTATACGAAAGAATTAAGGTGCCTGACTGGGAAAAAATATTTGCACTCTATACAACTGATAAGGGACTGATCACAAAGATACACAAAGAACTCACACGACTCAACAAAAACAAAGTAAACAATCCAGTCAAGAAATGGGCAGAAGAACTTAAAAGACATTTCTCCAAAGAGGAAATGCAAATGGCCAACAGGCATATGAAAAAATGTTCACCATCCCTTATAATCAGGGAAATGCAACTCAAAACCAAATTGAGATACCACCTTACACCACTCAGAATGGCACATATCAAAAAAACTAGCAACTACAAATGTTGGCGAAGATATGGTGAAAAAGAAACTCTCCTGCATTGCTGGTGGGAGTGCAAACTGGTCTGATCACTATAGAAAGCTGTCTGGAGGTTTCTCAGTCTACTAAAAATGGTACTTCCATATAACCCGGCATTTCCACTACTACAGATCTACCCAAAGGACACAAAAACATTGATCCAAAAGAACACCTGTACCCCTGTGTTTATTGCAACACTATTTACAACAGGTAAAACCTGGAAACAACCCAAATGCCCAAAAATAGATGACTGGATCAGGAAGATGTGGTATATATACACAATGAAATACTATTCAGCAATCAAAAAAGATAAACTCATGCCATTCGCAGCAACGTGGATGGAACTAGAAGGAATTACGCTCAGTGAAATAAGGCAGAAGGAAAAAGAAAAATATCAGATGGCTTCACTTATAGCAGGAATATAGGGGAACCAAATAAGACATCAGTGTAAAAAAACAATAATAGTACAAAACACAACAAAGCAAAAACAGACAATTATATATCAGAGACATTCTGCAGGGGAGGAGGTGGGAGAGGGATCAGAGGGAGGGAGGGAGGAGCCCAGGGACTGAGGTGATGGTGCACAGGTGCACTGGGGAAGGAAACTCTATAGGGACTACACCTGAGGGAGTGGGGGGAAGCAAATATTGTTTAAAAATGAACAATGATATAAAAAATTTTAAAATTTTTTAAAAATTTATAATAAATAATTTTTTTTAAAAAAGAATTAAGGTCCTGCAGAGAATGTGGCATTCAAGTGTATATCGTGACACCACTAGGTGGGTTTCTGTTTATTCCAGCTGGAGAGTAAAGTTCATGCCACTCTTAAAAGCCATTAAGCTCAGGCTGAGTGTTAAAAACATGCAATCCAGTTACACAAAAGAAAAAAGATTTTAAAGGATTTAAAATCAACATCTTGCTATTGCAAATAGAGTAAGACTGAACATGTAGCTGATAAAAGTTCGGCTTAGCACATTCGCAGGTGTCTCCCACTTCACTTTTTCAGAATCATTAGAGAATTGGAGCCAGAAAGGAGGAAGAAATTTAATCCAGGGATTTTCACCTTTTAAAAACAACAAATGGTTCCCTGTTTGTCTCCAGATAGAATATTATCCTGCACCCCAATACAAAACAGGTGAAAGCTGAGCCACTCTGAGGCAGTGTGGGGAGAGAATTCTCAGGTGATCATAAGCCCCTTTATAAAGGAGAGATTATACATGTTATCATAATCAAAAACTTCTGTATTATTTTTAACATGATGGAATGACTGATACATATACAGTAAAATAAGTACATAAAAAATACGAACGTGTGAAACTAAGTTTTTGAATTGCCAGGCAATTTTTTTCCCTTTATTTATGAACTTTGCTAATGTGTCATTTTTTTTAATATTTTATGTAATTCTTAACCAGGTAATTTTTTAAAAGAGCTCAGAGACTAATTTGTTATAGTCAATATCTATATTGCTCTACTCAAGGCACAATTCAAAGAGCTATATCTTTCAATTTCCCATTTTCTTACAATTATATCACAAATTATTTACTTATTGCTTCATAATTATTTCTGACTTAAAATTTTTCACATATTGTAATAGGTATTCATGGCAAAAATAAACAAATGAAAACATATAAATAAAGCAAAATTTCAGATCACCTATAATCTATTGTCCAAAGGCAAATATTCTTTAGACTTTTTCCTAAGCAGTTTTATCACCTACTTTATGATTTACTTTTACCTAACAAGTTAATTATATGCTTTTATTTCTCTAACTTACTTATTTATAGTTATTTATAGTTATTTATTTAATAGTTACAGGTTTGTTGATATAAAAGGAAATAGGTCATTTTACTATTGGAAGGTCATTTCTAAAATTTTTTGATGAAGGGAATACCTTATCTTATAATAGGCATCTTCTATAATTGGTTTGATAAATCGGTTTCCTATTCTAGAAGCTGGCCGTTGCTGCGTTCACGCGCACAGACATGGATGACATCAAAGGATACTCATCAGGCGGAGGGCAGCAGCACACATGACGCATGGCTCCACCGTGACGTACAGCACCGTGTGTTCAAACACCTCCGCGGGGCTCCTGCCGCAGCCCCGGCACCAGGCGAGGACCTGGTCGATGGCCACCATTTCTGCATGGCGGGTAGCCTGAAAAGAAAGAGGCGCTGGCATTTACAACTGTTTTACAATTTTCAAAAGTAAATATAAAACAATGGCCTATTGCTTTTGCCAACGTTTCCATGACACCCTTTCCAACTGTCAATTGCTGGACACCCTTAGCAATTGACACTGCACTCCCTAGTTCAAGGATCACCACCTCACCAAGCCAAGATGCCACAGGAAGTAAGCTCTTTTTATATTTAAATACCAAGGACAGTGGGGAGACTCTCAATTATAATGCCATAGCAATGATAAATCTCAAAAAAAAAAAAAATCCAAAAAAGATGAGGCTATGGTTTCTGAATATTTTATAAAAAAAGTTTGAAACTTTCATAAGCTTGTGCTCCAGTTTGAAATGGCTGTCAATGACCTCACTCTAAGCAAATCTATATTTAGTTTACTAAGATGTCATCATTCACATTTTCTTTGGGATCAGATTTAATATGCTGGCTGATAGTAGAGATCAACCACATCTAAATGTGATCCTGCCCATGACATTTGTAATTATGCAGCCTTTGTCAACTTACCTAAGTTCTCTAAGTCTTGGTTTTCCGTGTGTACTGTGGGGTATACTGGTATCCACATCTCATAAAGCAATCTGAATTACATGAAGCACATATATATAGCACCCTGCTGAATTTTAATGTTTGTGATCACTGCCTCCATCGGCAAACTTACACTGAATGTGAGCTATGTATAAACCACTACACTAAATTCTGTGGGAGATAAAAAAAATCTCAGTCTTCCTTAAGCATATAATGGGGGTTGGGGAGGCAAATAGAAAGATGCTCGTTTACCTGGGACTTAGAGCAGGGTGTGGAATTGCTGGCACAGTGGCCCCATATGCCTGGAGGCCAGGGGGCAGGGTGGGGGATAGAGTGATGCTGCCCCAGAATTACAAACTCAAAGCTGGAAGATACTTTAGAGAAGAGATTCCCAAGCCTAGCTGCATCCAGAACCAACTGGAGAGTCAAAACAGTTTCCCCTAGTCGAACACTCTTAAAAATCAAAGAGAATTACTGAATTCAATTGCCCCATTGAAGAGTTCTCAATGAATAACTGGGATGAGCTGAATCATCTCCACCAGCACCCTCTGCTTCTACTGCGGAAGAACCAGAAACTAAGCCACGTTAGGATGGATTGACAAAGCAGGGTGACAGGCAATAGTGGAGGCAGTACTGGAGCCCAATAGAACTCAGATCTCCTCATTTGGGTTTGAGAGTCCCTCTACACTGTGTTTATAGGGCAATCTTCTATAGGATATACACACCAAAATAAATCCAGTTTGATATCAAGGTATAGAAGAAATCAGGTCATTAAGAGTGGTTAGAAGGCTCTCATTAGGACAAAGTTCTCATGTAAAAGCTACGGTACTGAACCACCAGGTATAAATAGGGAGATAGGACAATTATTTAAACTACACAGTTTCTGCACTGCCTGAAATTAAAGCAACTCATTTGACATGGCAAAAAGAAAAAAAAAATTACAGAATTCTACTCCCAAATAATCATCTGTATATTCACTAATTGCTGTACTATGTGTGTATTTCATGAATATTTTTAGACCCACACAATAGCTGCTTTCTGAATCTGGGTTCCTACTTTGCATGTGTTTTGCTAAATCTGTTTCCTTTTTGATAGATGTGATGGATGAACTTTAAAGTCCCATAACACCAGTACTAACAGCAGCTTTCTACCTGGCTCTCAAGATTGTAGTCTCTGAGAGGTGTTATGGTTATAAACTACCCTTGAGTCTCCTACTATAATCACAACATTTAATACTTCAAATTTACCATGAAATACTGTTGCGCTATGTTCTAGAAATGTTGCCTTAATTCATGAACTTCTCAGCCACAATAAATTAAAAGTCACATAACTATTAAGGTATATCTACTACACATAGGCAGAGACAGCAAGTGGTAAAGCTTTTATTCCACTGAAGTATGTGATAGAAGAATACCTTTCTTTATGTATCCTTTATACAACCAGTTTAAAATTGAGGACTTAAAAAAAAATTTATTTATATATTTTTTATATCATTGTTCATTTTTGCAGTGTTTGATTTCTCCTTCCAGGTGTAGTCCCCATAAAATTCCCACCAAGGTATCTGTCAACCATCATGATAGATTCTTTTTTTTTTTTTTTAATTAAAGATTTATTTATTTATTTATACATATAAGCACTGGGTACAGTCAGAAGCGCGGAAGGGCAAGAGAACTCACCAGAGCCAGAGCAGGGAGCACAGCTGGCAGAAGGACCGAAGTACACTGTTGAGGGGAGCAGAGGTCTACTTGCCATGAGGGATCCTCCTCCGGTGGCCGGGGAGCAGCTGGGATCGAACCGGCGCTGCAGAGGCTGCAGGCAGCTTCGCAACCCAGCGCTCAACCGCTGCGCCACCAGGGAGGCCCCATGATAGATTCTTGTGCTCTTCCCTCCCCTGTTTTGATCCCTTTCCTTCCCCCTCCCCTGCTGAAAGTCTTGGATTTATAGTTTGCCTGCTAGTTTTGTCTTTTTTTTCCCCCTCTGTTCCCTTGTATGGTTTCCCTATTCCTCCTATAAGTGAAACCATCCATTTTTTCTTTTTCTTTCTGACTTATTTCACTGAGCACAATCCCTTCCAGCTCCATCCATGTTGCTGTGAATGGCATGAGTTTATCTTTTTTTAATTTCTGAGTAGTATTCCACTGGGTATATAGATCACACCTTGATCGACTCATCTGTTTTGGGGCATTTAGTTTGTTTCCCTATCTTAGCTATTGTAAATAGTGCTGCAATGAACATAGGAGTGCAGGTTTCTTTTTGAATTAATCTTTTGTGTCTTTTGTGTAGATTCCTATGAGTGGAATTGTTGGATCATATGTAGATCCATTTTTAGTAATTTGAGGGTCCTCCAGACAGCTTTCCATAGTGATTGGACCAGTTTGCACTCCTACCAGCAGTGTAAAAGGGTTTAAAATTGAGGATGATTTCTTAACTTACTTTTTAGGAACACATCATTTAAAGAATTAAGAATGCCATACAAGTTAAACTGAAGTTCTAAAAATCAAGAACTTGCATATATTAGTTTATTTAAAATGACACTCTGAGGTTATAAAATTTCCCTCACATGTCACTGAAGTGTTAAAGTAAAACTCCATGAAAAGAAAATTAGTCCTGAAAATTTAATTGCTTCATTAAATTTTACTGAATTTCCCAAAATTAAAAGAACAAACATTTGCCACTATCAGAATCAAGAAAATAAAAGGCACTCAAAAAAGCAAACGATGTACAAAAGTGAACAATGATGTAAAAGATATATAAATAAATTATATGATTTAAAAAAAGAGAGGGCCTGGGCCTCCCCGGTGGCGCAGCAGTTGAGCGCTGGGTTGTGAAGCTGCCCGCAGCCTCTGCAGTGCCAGTTCGATCCCCGGCTGCTCCCCGGCCACCGGAGGATGGTCCCACAGGGTGCGCAGACCTCTCCTGCCACCCGCTGCTCCCCTCAGCAGTGTGCTTCGGTCCTTCTGCCTGCTTTGCTCCCTGCTCTGGCTTTGGTGAATTCTCTCACCCTCCCGTGCTTCTGACTGTACCCAGTGCATGTATAAATAAATAAATAAATCTTAAAAAAAAAAAAAAAAAAAAAAAGAGGGCCTTCCCGAGTTGAACGCAGTGCTGTGAAGCTGTCCGCAGCCTCTTCAGTGTGGGTTTGATCCAGGCTGGCCAGCCGGCCAGCTGGCTGGCCAACCCACCAGCCGGCTGGCCAGCGAGAATCCCACATGGTGCAGCAGACCTCTCCTGTCTCACCCGCTGCTCCCCTCAGCAGTGTATTTCAGTCAGTCTGCCTGTTCTGTTCCCTGCTCTGTCTCTGGTGAATCCTCTCACCCTCCCGCGCCTCTGGACTGAACCCCAGCTCTTGTATAAAAATAAATAAATCTTTTAAAAAACAAATAAAAATAAAAGAGAGACAGAGAGAGAACTGTTATGGGGAAGCCCTTCGATCAGATCTATGGGACTCTCTAAGCGGCGGTATTCCCACGGATGGATAAGTTCATTCCACTCCTACCATCACTGCCATGTGCTTGCGATTACACCACTCGACTCACTCACATTTTTGGTTTGATTAACTTCATTTCTTCCCTTCCCGACAACTTCATTGTTATAGACCATCAGGCAGCCAACAGGAACCTCAGTATTTTCTAGGGCATCTTTTGCCTGAAAGACAAAGTAAAAAATCTAACATGTAATGTTCACTACTTGAAAAGATTACAGGAAAGAAAGAAACACAGATGAGCATGGATAGAACAAAGGAAAAAGTAACACAAGCAGCAAGATTGCATTCTTCAGGCGTATATCACAAACTACCCACAGGCTCGATCTGTCCCAGTTCTATAAAAAAGGTTAGTTAAATCATGCCCAGCTGATGCAAAGGTGGAAAATCTGAAACATTCTAGGGTTTACAAATATATATAAATAATTTGCAAATGCACCATGGTCTCCTATAGAAAGGAAAGTCAGAAGGAAGTGTGACAGCTAGGGAGGAGGAGAAAGCTAAATAGCAATACGGTTCAGGCCATCATCCCACTAAGAATGTTATTTAAGTTTAGGACAGCACATCACGCCAGGTACACAAGTCATTTATTCATCCAACAAATATTTTTTGAGCGTTTTGAGGCAGGTAAATTATCTTGAATTAGTCAAGCTGTCCTAAGTGCAGTAACAAGTGTCCTTATAAGAGAGACACAATGAACTTTGACATAGAAAATTGAAAGTAATGTGACAGTGAAGCAGAGAGCAAGATCTGAAGATGCTACCCTGGTGGCTTTGAAGACAGAGGAAGGGGGCCTGACTCAAGCCAGGAATGACTAGAGCTAGAATTGGCCAGGGCATATTCCTCTGCACCTCCATAGTTGCACAACCCTGCAGTTGCGCTGGTCCAGTGAAACTGATTCCCAACTCCTGGCCTCCAGAACTATGAGAGCATAAGCTTGTATTGTTTTAAGCTACCAACTGGGTGGTAATTTGTTACAGAAGCCATAGGAAACTAATATACTCTATTAAAAGGAAGAAAGAGCAAGCTAAATAGGATATTTGCAAACCTCATATCAGACACATCAGTCAGTGTCCATTGCCACTGTACTGCAGGACTAATATGAAGTCATGGGTGACCCAGTTCCTCTTCCAGGATGCTCTCCTGAATTGCTATGCCAGTGAAATACAGAAGTACTGTTCGTAGAGTAACATGCCTTTTGAGATTTTGCTAATTTTGATAATGTTCCAAGACATCCATCTTTGTTTTATTGGTTTTTTTCACCCCCATAACAAAGTGGTGTTTCTCCCTCCAAACACCAACTCTTTGATTCAAACAATGGATCAAGTAGTTAAAGCAACGTGGAAAGCTACCACTTGAGGAGGACCCAGAATTGTGCTGCAACAGAGCCAATGATGCCATTTTGGATTCAAGCCTCTGTGTATCAAGAACCTCACTTAGGCTCAGGGTGAAGTCAAAAGGAGTGGATGAGCACCATCTGAGAAACGACACTCAGGTTTGTCCATAACATAAAGGATTTGCCAAGGATAAAGAGAATGTAACACTTAGCATGTCTGTGGTTGAGATGGCGAACAACCTACAGTTGGGTTAGATTAGGATGCCCCGGGGGAACTCCGAGAAGTAGTTCCTGAGGAATTGACCAATGAGTCGTTGGAACTGGACAGGAATGCCCACTAGAATAAGAAAAAAAATCTGCAGGAGAAAAAGAACCCCAAAGAAATTTTCTAGGAAAGGGTTTAGCAGAACCCTTTGGCTGACCTCAGCATGCTCCTTAGAAGGTGTGAAAACAGGGGCCTCCTTGGTGGCGCAAGGGGTTAAGTCGCAGCACTATGAAGTTATCCGCAGTCACTGTAGCACAAGTTTGATCCCCGGCCAGAGAGCTGACCCCTATGGCACAGCAGACCTCACCTGTTTCTCACACTACTCCCCTCAGCAGTGTATTTCAGCAAATCCACCTGTTCTGCTCCCCGCTCTGTTCCAGTGACTCCTCTCACCACCAGCTCCCTGTACCTCTGGCCTACACCTCATCTCTTGTATGCATAAATAATTTTTTTTTTTAAAGTTATGAGGGCCTTCCTGGTGGCGCAGGCAGTTGAGCGCCACACTTTGAAGCTGTCCACAGCCTCTGCAGCACGGGTTTGATCCCAGCCGGCCGGCGATGATCCAACATGGCGAAGCAGAACCTCTCCTGTTGCGCCCGCTGCTCCCCTCAGCAGTATGTTTCAGTCCATCTGCCTGTTCTGTTCCCTGCTCTGTCTCCGGTGAATCCTCTCACCCTCCCATGCATCTGGCCTGTACCCTGGTTCTTGTATAAAAATAAATAAATCTTAAGATAAATAAATAAATAAATATAAATAAAAAGTTATGAAAACACAGACCTAACACCAAAAGGTTCTCATTAATAGAGAGGAATGGTCATGGGCTATATTGTCTACAAGCAAAAAGATGATGAGGAAAAGAAACAAAACAAGCAAACCACCACCAAGATCCTTCTGAAAAGAGTGCCATGTCCTCAAGAAAAGCTGCAGCCCATCCTTCAGGACATTTTCCAGGAGAGACTTTGTTATTCTAGGAGAGACAGCTTTTGGCAAGTTATCACTCCTGAGGACCCTTCAGCGGGATGAGATGTGGAGGTGAAGACAGTGACAGTGAAACCCCACCCCGTGTAGGCCTCGCCTAATGTGTATGTCTGCGTGTTCGTCTTTAACAAAAAAGTTTGAAAATTAAATATGTATACACATATCTACATATGCTATCAAGTTCAAAGTAGATTTAACTAAGCTGAAAATAATTTTCAGTCCATCCCATCTCATACTTTCCAATGCTCCCACCAACTCTTCTGTAACCTCTGATCGTTTCTTTATGAATGCAAAAGAACCTAAGCAAAACAGATCTGAAATTTGTGCAGGTTAGTTTGAATTAAACCATCTTGTCTTTAGGGGGAGAGCCCAAGTTTCAGTTACTATTTAAAATGTCAACTTGGGGGCCTCCGCAGTGGTGCAGCGGGTTGAGCACCATACTGTGAAGCTGTCCGCAGCCTCTACAGCGCGGGTTCAATTCCCAGCCTGCCAGCCAGGAAACTCACATGGCGTGGTAGACCTCTCCTGCCTCGCCCACTGCTCCCCTCAGCAGTGTCTTTGGTCCGTCTGCCTGTTCTGCTCCCTGCTCTCTCTCTGGTGAATCCTCTCACTCTTCCGCGCCTCTGACCTGTACCCCAGTGCTTGTATAAATAAATAAACCTTTAAAAAAAAAGTCAACTTGGTCTTATGTAAGTTAACAAATAATCACCTTTCAAAATAAAAAAAAACGAAACCTCTTTTGCCAGTCCTAACACTGGTCTCTGCTCCGTCTGTAAATGCCATTTCTTTCTTTGGCAAGGGCCTGCCTGTCAAGATAATGGCAGCTCTAGGAGAGAAGAGACTGTCGTTTCTCCAAAGCCATCAGTCCCAGAAACGACTTTCTTATGATGTGGTGGTAAGAAGAGGTGACGGCAGACAGACCGCACCCTGCACAAACCCTTAATGAGTTCCCGGATATATTTTCCTATGATAAACAAAAAATAGCAGAAAAGACATATTTAGCCAGAACAATTCTGAGGCAAAAAATAATAACATCCAAAAAGTTAAATCAAGCTACAACTGTTACTATCAATGACAGTTTGCCCTCCATCAATTTATTTTATTTATGCATACAAGAACTGGGGTGTAGGCCAGCAGTGCAGGAGTAAGAGGATTCACCAGAGACAGAGTAGGGAGCAGAACAGGTGGACTGACTGAAATACACTGCTGAGGGGATCAGCAGGCGAGACAGGAGAGGTCTGCTGCGCCATGTGGGTTAGCTCCCTGGCCAGGGATCGAACTCATTCTGTAGTGGCTGGAGATAGCTGCACAGTGCTCAGACTTAACCCCTTGCACCAGCAGGGAGGCCCCAAGCCAATGTTCTTTATTCTTGTAGGTCCCTAGTTCTCAACCTTTGTGGAGCCAAAATCCCTTTCAAGAATTTGATGAAAGCTATAGACTCATTTCTAAAAGGTGCATACACATAATACATTTATACATAGTTTCAGGGTTTCTAGATCCGCTAAAACTTGGGCACCTAATTAGGACGCCATGTTCTAAAGAGATATCTTGATCATTTCCTAACCCAAGACAAATTCCTCTATTTCCTTATAATTCCTTGTTTTGATTAACTTATTCCTTCCTTTCCACCAACTCTCTTCCCCTTTTTCAAGATACAGAAAGCATCCTATAATTTATCTCAAGTGACTTGCTCAGGACTTCATCACCTTTTTTCTGTTACAGCTTCAGCTCTTATTTTTGACCCTGGGCATATTACCTATTAATTCTTTCATTTGTGTATAGCTCAGTTTCATCAAGTAAACTGTGCTCCTGGGAAACAAGCACTAGATCCTGGTTCCAGCAAGCCTGTCTCACACGCCCAGCACAAGGCACACATGGGAAATGCTTAATCGCAGTGTGTTCACTGAAATGGATAGGTGTCTGCTTGATTTCTTTTTGAATTTCCTTTTGTCCTAGCACAATGTTCGAGTAATACTAGGTATCTGGAAATGCATTATGCAAACTAGACTAATACATGAAACTTACAAAAGATCTCTCTCTCTTGTTCAAAGCAGAAAATTTGAGGATGAAATAACCACACATCAAACAACAAAAACCACTTATAATTCCAACACCCCAAAATATGATCACCATTTATTATTCTGTGACAAAGGTTTTTCAATTCTTCTTATGCCTTGTGAATTATTCCTAGAAGTGGGTACTAAATGCACAGAGCTATAAAACTACGAACAATGGATATGTCTAGGCAATGAAGGGAGTAAAAAAAATTCAAATGTCCAATTAGGACATTTTGTCTTAGACATGTTGTCTAAGACATGGTAGTCACGGTAATGAAAATGAAAGGCAGAGACTTCCAGGAGGGAGGGTAGGCAGGAAGCAAGCACAGCACAGGAGAGCTAAAGATGGACGTGGGCTCAAACTTCACAGTTACCAGCTCTCTAACTCTAGGGAATTTATTTAATTTTCTAAACCTCAATGTCCCCCCGTGAAAATGAGGACAGTAATACCTACCCCACAGGCCATCCGCACTCTATGTCCCGAACTCTCTGTATGTAGTGAGAGTGCAAACTTGTTACTCATTTTCA